AGTTGAAGAAAAAACTGTTTAATTAAAGAAGAAATGAATCGTTAATTTGAAAGATGATAGTGAGACTAAAAACCAACAGGAACACACGAAGTTGAAGCAGAAATTTTCAAAATTAAAGAAGCAAGAGATTGTTCTTTTGGAAAGTGCTAGTGAAACTGAAGAACCAACAGGGGCACTGGCAGTTGAAGAAGAAATTTCTTCAACTGAAAAATGTAGACAATACTGGAGACCTTTGTAGCGAGCATTTCGGAACCTTTCAAGCATTTTTTGAGAACACCGATTGAGATTATTGTTAGATCATGGCGAAATTGAAAATTGAATCTTACACTTTTTAACAAGATTTTGTACTTTGAAAGCTTCACAAGATGCCGGTGACTCTTTAATACTCTTGAAAAAAATAAAGACATTAAGTCTTGAAATTGGGTCTTCGCATATCAGTTATTTCAAATTTTAGGCCCCATTCAAGAGAGCAATTTTTTATCGCTGAAGAGGTTTATGGTTAGCGCTTCTGGAAATGACGCCAATTTTCCCATGACTTCTTAAACATGAAACGATTAATTATCTATATCTGGGTATACGTTTCTTCGATTAAATGTCGATTTAAATTCATTAGCATAGATATTTGCGCATTTAACGTATTTATTGTCTGCTCAATATGGCATTTTGGGCACGTCGAAACTGCATTGAATGGCTTTAATTTCAGTTAGTCGCATTTGTTACTAAACCATTTATTTGCCTACAGAGAGTGTTTTTATTAATTTAAGCTGAAATATATGTAATTTTATGGATTGGTTTCACGGCAAAATACCGGGTGCTTCTAGCACTAATTGATTAAAATACAGGAGATAAACGATAGGGACTGATAGTCAAGTTCCTCTTCAATGAGCTGAAAGTCATCGATGTAGGCCCCCCTTAAATAGCAAAGATAAAACAAATGACTATTAAATGTTGAACATAAATTATGTTGTCACAACGATAGAACAATTGAATTAATTTTCAACATGGCTAAGCTTGATGGAGACAAGCAGAAACCGTTTAACAGTATTAAAAATAGGTTCCGGTTGAGAACCCGCTTCAGTTTTTTTTTATGGGACAGTTTTGGAATTTATTTCGGATATAAAATTGATGGAGAAATGTTTGTTTCGTTGGGTTTATTGTTTTATGGGCAGTTGCATGCGAAGTGGGTAGCTTAGGAAGAGCTAGCGGACAGGGCCACAAATAATACATTACATAATCATCACCGTGGGAGAATTGTTTGCCGCTCCCTTTAAATGGGGAACAGCATAGCATTCGTAATGTATGTTCTGCCATGTGTAAAGCGGAAACGGAATATGGCCTAAGGCGTAATTGTACACTCACTCCACTGTGGATTCTTTTCGTTTTTCCTCGATGCATTTTTACCTTTGCACGATTGATGCCGGTAGTCGAACAAACGGTATTTTTTGCCTTCCATTCGAAAATCTAGCGCACAACAGAAGCAGCAGCAGCAGCTACTTGATAGCCAATGTTTCCGACCCAATATAATGTTAATCTATTTATTATAAGCCGCTTAGGAAAACGTCCGAGGCCTGAAACTCGTGCTGGCTACTTTGATTCTCTTTAATTATTGGAGCAAATAATAATTCCATTCGCCGCTGTCCGATCTGTGTTTTTTCATGTTCGTTAATGACGCGAAGGTCGGCGAATTTACCAATACGCATTAAATTGGGAAAACACGTTTTCTTTTCGCGAAATGAAAAAAACTACTCAGAAGTAATTGCCGGTGTTATACAACTAGTAATGGCTTTTAGCATGGAAATTAGAATTAATGCCTGCATGGGGCGGTGATTGGATTTTGCAATGCCAAAAATGGCCAGTCGAAAATGCGTGCCGACGGTTTTTCCGACTGATCTTGGAAGCTTTTCTCGCCTGAGAACTCGTCCTCGAGGTATACGAATTTTCCAGTGAAAAAATTGCGACTATGCAGGTGCAGGCCGCACAAAGAACAATTCCAATCCAATACAAGTAAAAGCCAATTACGTAAATGCTTTTTTCGGTTTTAAGGCAATTGAGTCTCACCAGTTAGAACTGTGTTGGACTATCCGATATTTTTTCGACGCCAATTCAAGGCGTGGCCAATGGAAATGGCTCAAAGATGGGGATTTGGGAGCCGAATTTTCCAGTATTTTCAATGAAGCAATCGATTTTTTCCGGTTATTTGCGCGAAGGCCGTGCGGGGCTGCACAGTTTCATCGCAATATTTCAAATAACACTGTGAAATGTTAGTTAAACTTGACAGCGATATTAATCATTGCCTATATCTTTGCATATCTGCGGCTTGGACTAGATATGCTAATAGTTATTAATAATGCAAAAGAAAAAGCAGCGGCTACCACAATGAAAGGCTTAATCGTATCGTTCCATGGTTCATGTATTATTGCGGTTTACGGAACATTCTCTTTGTAGTTTACCTAAATAATATATATCTATATATCTATTAGTTTGCCAGACTGTGGCCAGTGTATGTAAACTTTTCTCCATTTTCTCTAAGCGGTTTAGGCCTCAATGGAGATTCACTTCTAGGTCAAGTTGTAGCTAGCTACAGCCGAAAACTAGCCAGAAAACTTTTTGGTTAACAGTTCCAACTTTTTCAAGAATATCTTGCTGATTGTACACTCAAAATTCAGCAATTTAAAGCCGATTTTGGCGCAAAAAGCGAAGAACAAACGGAAAGCTTCTTAGCAAACCGTGCAGAGTTTAATGTAAATGAGG